TAATTATCATTATATTGTAATACAAATGAACGTGGAGAAAGAAAAACAAGAAAAAAATGCACATTATTGATAAGAAAAATATATTTTTTTATAAACAATAAGCAATACAAAGCTTTCTCTTTTTTTTCTTCTTTTTTTTTTTGTAATATGATTGTTATTATTTCTTGGTATATACAATATAATGAGATAAAAAAGATTTGATTATATAATAGAAATATTTTCGTAGACCGTAATGGATCATTGCTTACAATTTTAACATTTTCAAATTTACTATTACAAATAATAAATGTTGTGATGTATTATTATGCTCTCTATGTTTCATATTCTTTTTTTTTTTTGTTATCTTTCAATATAAAATATATATTTTATTAATTATTATTTCACATTGATATGAGATTGTATCGTTGGTAATATGAATATATTTTATTATTGAACTTAGAAAAATCTTTATTATCTCTATTTTGTTTAAGTCTGACAAAAACATCGGATCTAAGGTATATCAATGTTGTTGTTATATATATTCCGTATATAATACAACACGTATCAAATTTTATATAAGAATTGAACACAAAATTATATTTTTTGATTTGTCCTCCTTACAGCTGGATTGCTTTGGTTACAGGGTGGTCAGAAAACAGATGATAAGAATACGAATGAATCCGAGCGTGTTCAAATAACAGACAATGAGCCTGAGCAATCAGAGCAAAAGGAGCAAACGGAGGAGACGCAGCCTTCCAGCGAACAGGCAAAGTCTTAAGCTTTCAGGCTACTCCTCCTATAAAGAATTGAACAATTTAATTTTTATACTACACACAGTATTTCGTTTTCAAATTTCAGAACGATTAGATTTTTTTTTTTTTTTTTTTTTTTTTTTTTTTTTCCTGGTTTCTTCTTACGTTTTCTTTTTTTGTTTCTCTCTCTCTCTCTTTTTTTTTTTTTTTTTACACATATAAATGTAAAATAATGATTTCGATATTTTTGTATATTGTTAGCAAGTTTAATACTAGATGTCTTCCTATTATCTCTTATTTTCTATCTATCTTTCTCACTTACTCACTCACTCAGTCTTATTATATTTTTTAATTAGAATAATGTTAATACAAATTTCTTTTTTTCATTTACGTCAATAGCTTAAGTATATATATATATGTGTTAATTTGATTTATTTTTTGGTATGCAATATATTTGATAAATTATTAGCATTTAATATCAAAGAATACATATATATGTTACATTTTGATATAATCAAAAAAAAAGAAAAAGAGAAACTTAACGTAATGATATTGGACATATTTGGAAAATTTTCTTTAAATAACATGAAAGAAAAGAAAACTTAATAACTTCAATAAATTTCTACAAACCACTCTTCGAATTGCTTTTTAATAAAACTATTACAGTGCTATGAGCTATGATACATTCCTCGTTAATAAGTTAATGGAAATAAAACTGTTGATAAGATTTTAAAAACATATATTTATACAAGATTTAAACAGTAAGATCGATTAAAAAGTAAATTTAATATTTAGATAGCTTGTGGCTCTGTAGTTTAAGAGAAAACAATTATGATACAATTTTTAGACTGGTTTTCTGTTAGTTTATATCTATAATATATATACATATATACATATACGTATATATTTATATATATATGTATATTTTTTTTTTTTATTTATTTCATAAATGCATGATTTCCAAATGAACACGCATTACTGAGAAAAGCATAAATTTGTAATTAAGGATACATAATATAAGAATAAATCATATTTCTACAAGTTATAATAATTTTAGTATCCCTTTTACTCTTTAAGCTTCTAAAAAGTATCTATTTGTGTATTAACACACAATCGTTCTGAATTATGAAAATATATTTATGTATATTCTAATATTTTTAAATACAAAAAGAACAAAAAAATTTGATATGTAATTGTCAATCGTACTCAGGAAATTTTTACCGATATCTATTTACACATCAAATACACATTTATATTGCGATATTTAATATATAGAATAACTTCTATATAAATTAAAAAATTTAATTTTTTCAATAAAAGGTATGCAACAATTGATTATTAAATATAAAAGGAACTTTTAAATTAATCGAATAGTTATAAAATTATATAAATAATTATAGTTATCTTTGCATCATCATTGTAATTAATACCATTAGATGAAGTTACTATGGCTTTATATTTTTAATTTCTAACTTCTTCCTTTTAAAAATACATTGGAATTTCTAAATATATCCTGAAATTTATACGACGTGTATCTTGCCATATATTTTCTTTTAAAACAATAATTTAATATAATTATAAATCATTAATGTGTTAGCTTACCACAAATATTAATTTTTAAATATTCGAATTTTTGAATGAACAAAATAATTGTTATCAAATAACAATAAAGATAGTAATTGAAACTTTGATAGTTTACAGGATAGTCTAAATCATAATTTGATATTACAAATAACTTTAAATATAAATATTAAATGAAATTGAATATAAATAATAAAAATGAAATATCACATTTTAAAGATTTAGACGATACCAACTTTCAAAGGGTCAATAATAAAGGTAAATACAATATATATAATTTACAAGAAAATAATTCTACGTGCTTCTCACTCGTTTCCAGAGAAGTATATTGTTTACTAAAAAAAAAAAACATATCTTTATTTGCGTACATTATTTTTATTGAATTCCAAAGATCACAATTTTTAGGCTGACTTTGAACCAAACATGGAAACTGAGGAATCAAACGATGAATCATGTGACAGAATAAATGATAAAATTAAAATAGATAAACAATATTATTGCGAAGTATGCGATAGAGAATTTAAAACAGATGAAAAACTAGCAGAACATGTGTCTACTCATAAGTTATGTGGTATAGATGGTTGTACTTTTTCTGCTAATAATTTACTCGTTGATAAACATATTAAAATGCAACATCGTACTGGATTATATGAAAGAATGAAAAATGTATCAACACCTGAAGATATTCAAAAGTGGATTGAAGAAAGGAAGAGGTTTTTATCTTTATTGTTATGGTCAAGTTAAAAGAAAAAAAAAGTATACTTTCAATATATAAAAAAAGAAAACATTACTATATAGAATTCATATTAAATTGTATAAATTGTAGGAAATATCCTACAAAAGTAAACATAGAGGAAAAGCAAAAAATGGATATAAAAAAGATCGAACGTGGTGAAATAATTAGACAAGTGAATAAACCTATTCATTCGAGAAAAAATAATCAACAGACAAATACTAATAATGTAAAAAAACACAAACGTAATAAATGGCAAATACCAAAAGATCAAAATACATTACCCGTTATAGAAACATACAGAGGTCTTACTCAGTTTTCAGGAACGGGTAAGTTTAGTTATAATTATTGAATATGCGAATAGATGATTTTTATATAATGTAAATATATCTTTGATGTAATATTTTATTAGCTTGCTTAGAAGATGATAACTTTAATAAAAGTGAAAACAATAATGAGGAACATTTGGAAACAAAATGTATTAATGAAATTAAACAGATAGAAAATACATTTAATATTTCTGACGAAGAAGACGCGTTGATAGAAAATAATTCAATAACTAATCCGATTAAAAATAATTCACTGTGCAGTTTAATAGCAGATTATGGTAGCGAAGGTATATATATATATAGGGTGTCTTGTAATTGATGGCACAATCGAACAGAAGATGATTCTACATGAAAATCTTTAAATTTTTGTTTCCTTCAAAACAAAGTCTTACATGAAAATATTTGATTTTCCACTTTTATTTTTCAACTTAATTTTTTATATTGAATCACTCTCTCTGCTTGCTTGTACTATCAATTACAGAACTATATTGATATAAATAAATAATAATGAATAGATTTATTCGGTTTATTGTTTATATTTTTATAGAAGAAGAGGGTCCACAGGAAATACCCATAAAAAAATTGGCAAATCACTCAAATGAAACAAATATCATGGAAACAGTGTCATCAAATAATACTAAATCTAATGCTTCAGAGAAATCTGATAAAAAGAAAAAGGAAAAAGAAAATAAGCCATTGAGTATACAAAATAGTGTTATTAATAAACAAAAAAAATATAAAAACAGTAGTAGTATAAATTTATTACGAAAATTACTTGCTAAAGATATAAAACACGAAAGAAATCTAATATTCCAATGTGTAAAATATATTGCAAGTAATAATTTGTTTGTACTTAAAAATAATAGTAATTTATAAAAATGTCTCTTGAATACTCTTTTTATTTAATGCATTGAGATAAGTATAATGAATGTTATTTACAAATTGATTTTAATAAAATATGTGTCAATACATATGTATAGAAAATGCATATAAATTAAAGATAATTTATTATTATTTTTTGTGCTTCTTTTGCTTTTTCTGTTTCTTCTGAGGTTCTTTCAATTCTGCATCATTATCTCCTGGCCTTTTCTCCCCAGTTTTAACAGAAATCAGATTTTTACTTTTCTTTCCAGAAAGAGCATTATTCCAGTCACCTTCACTTCCTTTTATTACGTATTGATCTAAATTTTCTTTCTTTAATTTTTCTAATTCAGCATTCTGTTTTCTTTTTAATTCCTATTATAAAGAAAATCAATATGTTATAGTATTGAGTGTATTTTATTTATTGAAAAATTAATAATGTAGCGTTACAAACCTTAGCTGCTGTTTCTAATTCATCATGTAAACTTTGTCCACCTAATGGATTCAATTGAACGCTATCACTTGTCATATTTTTGTCCATTATCACAGTTTCAATAAATTGTTCAGCAATCGAGTTAAGATATTGTATGGATTTCCTTATAATACGATTAAATAAACCGAGTAATTGTGACGATGGTAAATTTAACTCCTCGGCTAATTTGTCAACTGTTTTATGTTGCAGTCCTAATCCTAATAAAATTGCCTAACAGACAATACAAACAGATATTTGTATAAAGCTAGAGAAAAACAATTAGAAAAATATTAAATGTGTAATAAGTAAAAAAAAAAAATATTTACCAATTGAACTGGAGAAAAATGTAAATTGGTCATCATATTTAAGAAATATAAACGTGCTAATGATGGTAATAAATCCATTATTAAATGATAGTCTGCCATATTGTTACTGTACATGTCTAATCGTTTTAAATCATAAGATGTGAAATATGCGTCTAACATTTCTTTCGATAAAGCTAAAATAAATAAAAAATAATTTATAAATGTTACATGTTAAAATACATTAACAATATTTACAAGTTATACGTACTATTGGATTCACTAGGAACAGATTTGTTAGTTAAAATACTCAAAGATAAAGATGCTGGATAGGTGTTAAACGAAAGAGAAAGTAATGTTATAAACCGACGACGAAAATCTTTCCAATAAGCGCTCAACCAATTGTTATCTGTATCTTCATTTGAATTTATTTTATATAACATTATACAGGAATTTTCTCCAGTTATGTCGTTTGCAGTTTGTCTAAAAAAAAAAATGATTATATAATGTGTGTAATTTTAAAAATATATTATAAAATTATTAATTATAGATAGAAAAAATATTTAGATATCTTTCAAAACAAACCTTATATAGACAGGAACGAATGAAGATCTTTTCCAAAATTTTAAAAGTTTTTCCGTGATACCGTAAGATACACCAATGTAATTTAAATTTTCTGGTCTTCTTTCAGACAATTTTAAAAGAAGAGGTGGAAGAGAAGCACGTGGTTCTATGAAGAAACCATTTTTAAATATTAATATCATATATATTTAAATAAAAAAGAAAAATAATAATAATATTATTATTATTATAATTACCAATAGTCTCTTCTAATAATCCAACTTTTTCGTCATTAACCGTATCAATTTCAGTTTGCTTTACTTCAGTTTCTACTTCTTCATTGATATCAAGAATATTCATTTCGTAATAATGTTTCAAAAGTTCTAATGCTCGAGTACCGTAACCCATCTTTAAATTTAAATAAATAAGTTTATTTTTTACGCGTTTTAAGAGAAAGAAATTAATTAATGAAGTATTTAATAATACATACTCCTTGATAATCAGGGTGAGTTGCTATGCGAACAATACGAGCACCTGCTAAAGTTGGAAAATCTTGATCTTGATATTGCTGACTGATTGTCCATGGTATTAAATCACCTGCAGCTCTTCGACCTCGACCTAAGCCATCAGCTATAGTAGCTTTGCTAACTTCACCTTCTAAGCAGACCTACGTGCACATAATATAAAATTTACTTATATGATTTTTTTTTTTTTATTTCTTTTAGATGCAATTTGATAAATAATGTTTATTAATGTACCTGTATAACAGCTAATATTTCAGGTAATGCCTTTCTATTTGTATCAACTGGACCTAACAGACAAAACAAATGATGAGCTGGTGCGTCAGACATCATTTGCAAATCATTTGGACTATTCTGAAAGTATAATTTTATTTGAAGTTACCATTTTATTTTGTATAATATTTAAATATGAATTAAAGTTATATAAATTTACCTTATAATGCGAAGCAACATATAAAGCTACCAATTTTTGAAGAAACAATTCGGAAGCTTTGTGATAAGAGAACAATGTATCCCTAAAAGTACAACCTGATATAATCTATATACATTTTAATATATTTTATTAAATATTTATAATATAATTACCTGTTAATGTAATATAATTCGCATGTATCCGGCGGTGGACATCCAGAAAGAACAGGAGCATAAGTAGTCGCATTTAAACAAAGTAATTCTGTTAACCATTGTTCAACAGGATCACCAGGTTTATAACGAATAGATTCTTCTAAAGTCATCTCGTGTAATTGCCTTCCTATCAGAGTTTTTTCATTTAATTCTTTATCATTCTTTCCGTGACTATTAGAACCAACAGTTTGTGTCCTTAACTGCTGAAGTAATTTTAATGACAAAGAACGGCCTGTTCCTTCGTAACTATTATAAAAATAAAATTTTGTTTAAATTATAAAAGGATAGATTTTCATTTTTTTTTTAAATTAGTGCTTATTATTCAAGATAGACTTACCCATTTATAGTCGATGCAAGAAATATTAAATACGGGCCTAACATAGCTTTTACGTATGGTAGAGGAATAGCTGCTGCTTCGTCGATTACTAGTAATTCTGCTTGATTTAATTTGTGCGTATCGGTTGGATGTATGTACTATAATATTATATAAAATATATTAAAATTATCTTCTTCTTTTTTTTAGAATTTCATTACAAGAATTATAAGCAATTAGGAATACCTGAATAGTTTGTCGATGATCTCGGAAAACATTTACTCTTACTGTAGCTTTATTAAATTCAGGATTCGTGGATTGAACTAAACCATAATCAAGATGTTCTTGATATCCTAAAGCATCAAATCCTACAAATGTAAGAAATCATTTATAAATGGTTTTATTACTTTATAAGTGATGATTTATTTACCATTGAATTTTTTTTTTTATATTAATTATACCTTTGAAAATAAATTCAAAAAGTGTGTTTAAATTTTCAGGACTAGGACTAGATATGTATATATTGGAATAGCCAAATGAAATAGCACCAGCTATTGCTAATCCCAAAGCTGCAGATTTTCCACGTCCTCTTGCAGCGGTCAATGATACAGTAGATCTCAAAGTTTTTTCAGATATACACTCAATGAATTTTAACAGTGCTTTTCCCTACAAATTTTTAATTAAAATTAGTTTTCAATATACATTATTCAATAGTGAAATTATTAAAAAAACAAACCATACTTGATCAATGGTCCTGCAGCAATTAATAAGTGCAGAAATGGGTTGTGTATCTCTTAAACTTTCTTTCAAGACATCCAGATCGGTTTGTGTTTCGGAAGAGGGTGCTTTTTGAACAGCCTCTATTTTTAAATTGTGAGAAGATATAGGTAAAACATTTAATTGATCGTCGACAACCAAACATCGACTACACGATGCAAGGGATAACAAAAATCTTTCATTGAAACGGCAAACTACATCCTATAAAAAATTAAATAAACAATATTATTGAGTGCAAGGATAAGAATCTGTGGAATCGAAAGAATAAAAAGGTAATAAACCTGATGTGCTTCCGTACGAAACCGTTGATGAACATCCATATTTATAGTATACAATTGTTTTAACGAAGTTACAGATTGTAAAAGGAAAACTATAATACCAGATCCTTCAACAGTTTCTATAGTCCTTGCTAATAAATTAGGAGTCAATGCTTCAAAATCCTACACAATATAAAAAGTTAACAATAAACATAAATAGACAATAATAATAAAAATAATCAATGGTTTATATAATACATACTTGTAAAACACACATTCCATATGTGTTACCTAAGATCTTATGAGTTTCATTATAATAACAATAACGTATATTGGTAGAAACAACGAATAGTTCAAATGGATCATCTTCATTAACGTCAAGTTTACCAGATTTAACTTTTTTCTGTATACTTTTCATACGTTTCTTTCTGTGACTACTGAAACCTAATTCTTTCTTATAACACCATAATACAGAGGGTCTTGCTTTTATAACAGATTTTGATAACATGTGGTGTAGTAAGACAACCTAAAAAAAAATTAATATTTATTAATAACATTTGATAATATTAGTGCATGTCAAATATTTTTTTTTTATAAAATATCTACATAATAAGTGATCCCTGGATAAATAATACATAAATATTTATGTATTATTTATTTTGATATTATTTCAAAAAAACACGTGGTATAACTTAAATGCATGTATCGTACCTGATCTCGTGCTTTTTCTCCTACAACAATAAACATTGTTCTGTGTCCCGTAACAACACCATTTTCTATTAAAATACGTATTCGATTATCAATCTTTTTACGTACCATTTTAATTGAATATATACTTATTTACTATTAGAATATTAGAATAAAGGAAACACGTTATTGAGATAGTATAAACAGAATGGTTGGTTACAATCGATACGTCATTCGATATTTTGATATCGATATTCGATAAATCAAACGATATATCGAATTTGAAATGATTATTTAAATAAATGATAATTACATATAAATATTGATAAATAATTAATCTAATCGATAGAAAATTAATTTAAAAATATATAAGAAATGATTCGTATTTAATAAAATAAATTTAAATTGTAAAAAAAGAAGATATAAAAATGTCATTCGACGATTGGTCGTCTGGATGAAAAGAAATCGTAATCTAACCAATAGAAATAGGTTTTTCATTAATCAGAGTTCGCAGTAGTGGGGGATAAAGATAGACAATAAGGAAAAGCCTACTCCCCTCCATTCGTCGATGCAGCTTCAGAGAGTTCGTACCGATTTATTCACGATCAGCTGATTGTTGTTTTTCTTTTTTTTCATCGAAGGAAATAAATAATCTCGCGATAAAAGAGTAAGCAATGTTAATAAGAAATATTACGGTGCATAATAGTTGACGATTATACGTTTAAATATTTAAAGACTTTAGTGAAACACAAAAGGAAAGAAGGAAAGAAAAAGAAAGATAGAGAGAGAGAGAGAGAGAGAGAGACAGAAGAAGAAGAAGAAGAAGAAGAAAAACAATAAGAAAAAGAATTAAATAATATAAAAAAAAAAAAAATGAAATAATGTGTCTTTGACAAAGAGTGCGTCTATGTTACTACCGTATAAAATTGTGCATATGAATCGTAATTGTGTTGTTGTTAGTGGTGGTAATATCTTTGCAAAAAGGTTTGCCTTGGATTAGGTCGAATCGGTAAAATAAAAAGTGAAAAAAAGAGATTGACGTTGACCGCGGGTGGGGTGACATCACTGTTCCCTTGGCTCTGTTGTCAGTAGCTCGCAGAATGACGCAGTAGACGGTTGCGCGAGGGTGCCAAGCGCCTCGCCGAAAGAAAAAAACGGCTCTTGTCGCGAAGTAAGTTTAAGAAATAATCATCATTTCTTATATCATTCACAAATATTTGTCCTATAAATGATGATAATTATGTAAGGAAATTTTCTTTGTTATACGAATCAAGACAATAATCATTTGCACTTCATTTTCTTATCTATTTCCATTCTTCTTTCTTTCTCTGTCTGTCTGTCTGTCTGTCTCTTTCTCTCTCTCTCTCTCTCTCTCTCTCTCTTTCTCTTTCTATTTCTCTCTTTGTCTCTCTCGTTAGTTTTGTTTTCTTATACGAAAGAAAAGGATAGAAAATAATTTTTCTTTGTTTTGTCACGGTCACGTTAAATTACCTACATCATATATTACGATCGCAAACGCCTACGATATTGGATTCTTCGAAAGCGTCATAATAAAAGCGTGCGATCAAATCCAGTATTTCACGGACAAAGACGACTTTTACTGTTTCTCTCTCTCTCTCTCTCTCTCTCTCTCTCTCTTTCTCTCTCCCTCTTTTTCTCTCTTCCCCCTTCCTCTCTGTTCTCTCCTTCGCTTACTTGTATATATTTCTCTGTTTCTCTTTCGTTCTCCTCACCTTTCTTTTTTTGTCTTTCTCTTTCGTCGACCCTGAGTGCGCGTTCTCTGCGAACAGCTGTGTTGGATTGTGCAATGCCTGTGTTCCGACAAGCAAAATAGACCTCCCCACCCTTCTACCATCTTTTACCAATGTACTTTCCCAGTTAAGCATTAAATAATACTACACTGACGTATTATATATGTATATATATACACACACACACACACCAATAACTTTTGGACGTGTGTGTTTGTTCCGAGGGGGGTTATATTACTTCTTTAAAAAAAAACAAACGCATTTACACGCAACACTTTTGTCTTCCTTTCATCGTGTGCGTTTCTACGTTAAAAAAAAAGAAAAAATAAATAAATAAATAATGTAACTTTATTACGAAGAACCGTGGTATTATAAAATCGTTTCTCATTTTTCGCACATGCATTTCTATTACATCCCCTTCCTGTTTACATGACGATACGCGTATAATTTATTTAAATACATTCTTTCCTTTTTTTTTCTTTGGTTTCTTGTTTTATTCTATAAGAAATAAGACACGAAATGATCACTATTCTTTTTGATATTATTTAACCTTTGTTTTTCTATGAGTCATTTTTACGTGACAAAATGAAATGATAATAAAGGGTTAATATTTTGATCCACGTAGTGTGTTTTGAAAAATACAAAATTATATATTACGTCAATGTTTCACATACACCATCTTATATATCTATGTAATATTTATTATTTGTTGTTATATTAAATTAATGAGTAATAACGTTCATGATTAATTAGAAATGTTTGTTCTCTGAAACTTACGATTAGATCATTGAACTCTGTGGGGAAATGAATTTATTCTCTTCGTTGTTATCTGTATCTCATGTTTGCTGGGGCAAATACAAATATATATATATATATATATATATATNGCAAAAAATAAATTCTTGATTAGAAATACAATTAAATTTAAAGCGTATTTTATTGTCGATCATTATATTGCAATTAAAATTTAATTAGATATACCAAATTTCATCTATTTTTAACTTACGAAGATAATAAAAGTATATAAATATGTATATATCTATATATGTTTTATAATTGTACTTGATTTGAATTCGGCGGTACTTTATAAATGTAACAATTTAACGGACTCCAAGAGTAAAGTTCTTGTGTGTTTTATATTTATCGTTATTGTGTGAGTTTATAAATAATTAATTTATAAATAATTAATATCGTTTATATTTATTTAGTTTTACTACGCGTATGAATAATATTTAATTAGATATTAAATTAATAATAATAAAAAGAAACAAAAGGAAAATATAAGACTGCATATAAGAATTATAATTTAAATATTTTTTCTTGTATTAATAAGAGTATTAATAAGGATTAATTGTTTATTTTTAAAGAGAATAATTAACTAATTTTTCTTTTTAAATATTTCTTTTAACAGTGAAGATAATTGCCGATGAAAGAAACATGTCTGCTGATTCACCAAGACGCAGCGTGCATAAAGGAGCCCAAGTTGTTACACCTCAACCGATAGTTGATCGGTCAATAATTGATAGCGTCGCTGGAATTATAAATGACATTGTTCCGCAGGTTGTATTTTTTATCATAAATTCTTAATATTATATTAGTCAGCTTCAATTTTTCATTTAATATGTATTAGAATTTCTTTTTCCAGGCGTATACTGCCCCCAACACAGATAACAAAGAATCCATTAGTTGGGCTCGATTTGAATATGCAGATGTAAATGATCCTGCGTTGTATACTGAGTTTACTGAAGGATCAAGTACACCGCCATTGTTGTTAGTACTTGGCTATTCTACAGGTGTACAGGTTTGTACTTTTAGTACATTTTTTGTGATATCTTTGTAATAATTAGATACAAAATTTATTTTAACAAATATATATATTTATATTATTATTTGTGTTTTTGTTTTGTTTTTATAGATATGGCTAATATCTGCAACAGGAGAAGCAACAGAAATTCTATCATGGCGACAAGGAATAGTGCGTACTTTAAGAGTTATACCAAATCCGAAGACTGATTCCAAACACTTTGATCTATTTGAACCGAAACGGCCATTAGTAGCAATATGCGACTCGGCTGGACCGGGACCACAGTTTTGCAACATAAGCTTCATCTCGCTAAAAACTGGTGATCAAATAAAAAACATTAAGTTCAAAAATCCTGTATGCGACATTTTGGCCAATAGGAGATCCATAGTTGTAACATTTTCTGAGAAGATTGCTGTGTTTGATGCAAGAACATTAGAGGATGTAATATCAATAACTACATGTTATCCCAGTCCTGGACCAAATCTCAACCCTGTTGCGCTAGGAACAAGATGGCTTGCTTACAGGTAATTGTATACTACTTCTTGTTGTTTTTTTAAATATTATTATTTACAAAGAAACGAATATATATTGGGATATTTAATGTTATTAATTACAGTGAAAAGAAGTTATTACCAGCTAAAAGAAGCAGTGGTGGCTGTGAAGGTGAAGGCGTACAAAGTTACACAGCTACAGTTTTATATGCTGCAAAATCATTAGGAAAAGGTCTACGTGGTTTAGGAGAAACAGTAGCATCAAGTTTAACGGGAAATTCAGTGTCACCGATAGCCGCTAATAATACGAGCAATGATGTGACACAGCCAGGCGTAGTTATGATATTAGACCTGCAAGCAGCAAAGGAGGAAAAAGATATGGATGATCCAACCATAGAGACAGTAATAGCTCATTTCACTGCCCATACTGATGCGATCGTTGCCATGACTTTCGATTCAACTGGTGCATTATTAATGACCGCCGACAAACGCGGACATGATTTTCACGTATTTAGAATTCAGCCTCATCCTGGCGGTCCTACATTGGCAGCAGTTCACCATCTTTATATTTTGCACCGTGGAGATACAACAGCTAAAGTACAAGTAAGAATTTATATATCTTTTTTCTCATTTTTTTTACTTTTATTCTTATTACTATTATATCCTAAAAAAATAAATGTTTCTTTTATTGTAGGACATGACATTCTCAGCTGATACTCGTTGGGCTGCTGTTTCAACAGTTCGTGGAACTACCCACGTTTTCCCAGTCGCGCCCTATGGTGGATCCGTAGGAGTGAGAACTCATTTGACTCCGCACGTAGTAAATAGACTTTCACGATTTCACAGAAGTGCAGGCTTAATGGATGATGGTACAAGATCCCATTCACCTATTTTACATTCTGAATTACCTTTATCCATTTATCCTTATTCCAATCCCAGACTTCCACCATATCCTCACCCAACAATTCTGCATCCTTTGGCACAAATTAGACAACCGTCAACATTGAATCATGCCAACAGTCAAATTCAACCAAGGTAATTTTTAATTGTCATTTACATCGATAAGTTCATTTTTATTATTTAGATTTCAATTAAATATATAAACAACATTTTTGTTTTGTTATATTTATGTGGATGATCTTGTTAAAATATCATCAATATTAAATGAAATTAGATTTTGTGCTAGTATACAGTATATAAAATAGTATTGATTATTTATATTTATTGTTTAATTAGACCACAGCAAAGGCAACGGCTTCATTCTGACGATAGTGGTACTTTACCTTTAAAGATATGTGCTTGCTTTGCTCCACCTAGAGCTTGGATTTATGCACAAAGAGAATCTGGTAGCAAGGTTGCTAAAAGAAAATTAGATTCTTTATTTATCATGGCATGTCATGGGAATATGATACAATATGATCTAGAAGTTAAACCTTCTTCCGGTATGTTTTATTTGTATAGTAACATACATATGCATTGAAATATATTTTATTAATTAGCATGTATATTTAACTCACAAGTAACAACTTATTTTTGATTTAAAAACAAAAAAACACTGTTACATATAGGAGTTCCAAAAGAAAAAATAAGCGACGATACAATGATAGAATTAGATGTCGAAGCTAAAGGACAATGGCCTCTTCTAAGGTCTCCTAATTCTACGGATATTCTACCACCAATACCATTATCAAGTCCTTTATTTACCGTCTCTACAGTACCCGATGAAGATGAACCTTTTGATACAAGCGAAGATGCTTGGTTAAGTCAAGTGGAAATTGTAACGCATGCTGGGCCACATAGACGATTATGGATGGGACCACAATTTGTTTTCAAAACATATAACGCACCTAGCGGGTAAGTTATTCGTTTTTAAAATTAATAGACTTTATGTATTTAACGAGCACGATCTAAATAATAGACTTTTAACATTTTTGCTTAGAATAGAATTCTAACAGTAGCAAATTATTATTAGGGTTTCTGTAAACTTGGTAGAAGCAGAGGCAGTTGAAGTTGGAATTACAGGTTCATGTTCAGCAAGGTCAAATCCTGTTAATATGCCACATGCAGCTTCTAGACCTTTAGTTCCAGTTGTTATCGATGGATCAGGAAGTAAGTTAATAAAAATATATAACAATATATTTAAAATATACACATATGCAAGTTAATAATGATTTTGATATTTTTTTTCTCTAATCATAGAACAATGTAACTTAATTAATTGATGTGGATTTTAGGCAGTTACGAACAGTCGCCAAGATTTATGGAAGCTTATGGGGACTCATTAGATAATGAACACATTGGAGTTGGCAGTGGGGAAAGTCAATTAAGAGAAGATTTAGCAGATGCTATGTTGGAAACATCGATTGCTCCGCATCATGCTCCTGGTAAGTAATTTTTTATTAAAACAAAAATCTCTTCCGTATTATTTGATAATTAAATTGTTAGATCAATTTTGTTGTTGTTGTGTAAATTGTTTGGATCATACTTATTATACTTTCGTTAACTTAAGTTTAAATATTGTCTGTCGTGCAGTGTAGCTGAATATTTTAAAAATATAAGCATAGAAGCAATAATAGTAAATGTATGCATAGATTAAATTAGCATGGTATAAAATTCATATTAATATTAAAACTTAACAGAGAATTAAACAAAACTATTTATTATAATCTTAATGTTGTACTAAATATGTGTTTGTGTCGTTGAAATGATGCTCTCTTTTATTTTTATTTTTATTTAGTATATCTCTAGTTTTTATTTAAATATTTTATTTTACAGAATATAGTACATCAAATTAGTAAGCTTGTATATAATTGTGTGCACGTTAAAAGCTAGTACACATTTCACCATATGTATTGCATTCCTTTTCAACAAACAAACAAAAATGTTCACACTTATAAACGTTAGGTGAAAATTAGTACATATTTTAAATATATAAAAAAAAAAAAGAAAAATAAAAGAAAAAAGAAACGCGCGGACAGGGGATTTGTGTTATAATACTTTGATAAAATTAAATAGTATATCACACTCGATTCGATATAATCCTTGCGAAATAATGAATAGAAAGAAATGAACAATTATTATTAATAACAAAAAAAAAAAAAAACCGTATCACGAAAAAAGTAATAATTGACGCAATTCTGATTTCTGCACGGAGTGTTGAAAGGATGGTCGCTTGCATCATAAAAATTTATGTGTACACAGAACTGGCCAGAGGCAGGTATCTTCGTTTTTATCCCTTTTTAACTATGTCTGATCACTAACATATCACAAAAACATGAAATTAAAAAAAAAAAAAAAAAAGTCTTTCAATTTATTCCAAATAAAATAATAAAAAAACACATAGAAAAAGAAATTCTATTCAAGCACTGTTGTACGTTAATTTTTCACACTAACTGTGTATAT